ATAAATAAATAAATAAACATTTTAAGTAAAACTCCCAAATATAAAAAGCTCAGAAAACGACAGCGGTGTACAATCTCATCTAGAGAAAAAAAGGGTTTAGGGTTTAGGGTTTAGGGTTTAGGGTTTAGGGTTTGTGCAGCAAGTGGGTAACGAAAGAGTGCGGGGTATAAGCGGAGGAGAGAAGAAGCGGCTGATGGCTGGAGGGGCTCTGATATCTCTTTCTCAGCTTTGTTTTGCAGACGAGATTACTTCAGGTTTGTTTGTTTATTTATTTATTTATTTATTTTGATTGTTTGTTTGTTTGTTTGTTTGTTTGTTTGTTTGTCTCTTGTCTGTCTTTTTTTTGTCTCCTTTTGAGCTCTCTGTCTCTCTTTTACAGATTTACTTCATCGTCTGTCTGTCTCTTCTTGTCTCTTCTTTATCTTTTATGTCTTTATTTGTCTCTATTTGTCTTTATTTGTCTTTGCTTCTCTCTGCTTGTCTCTGCGTGTCTTTATTTGTCTCTATTTGTCTCTATTTGTCTCTATTTGTCTCCGCTTGTCTCTTCTCGTCTCTTCTTTATCTTTTATTTGTCTCCATCTGCCTCTTTCTGTCTCTCTTTTTGTCTCTTTTGCTGTCTCTTTTTGTCTCTCTTTCTGTCTCTTTCTGTCTCTCTTTCTGTCTCTTCTGTCTCTCTTTCTGTCTCTTTTTTGTTTATTTTTATCTTTTCTTCTGTCTCCTTTTTCGTCTCTTTTTGTCTCTATTTGTCTCCTTTTAGTCTCTTTTGCTGTCTCTTTCTGTCTCCTTTTTTATTTTTGTCTCTTTCTTTGTTTATTTTTGTCTGTTCTTCTGTCTCTTTTTTTGTCTCTTTGCTTTCGTTTCTGAACGTGTAGCGTCTCCGTCGCTATCCCTTCTGTCTCTCTCTCGTGTTATATATATATATATATATATTATCTGTATATATATATATATAATAATATATGTATATATATATTAGTTTATGTATATGTATATATATGCATTATATAATATGATGTATATAAAGCCCAGCACTGTAAGTGCACAGTTTTAATTATAGATATTATATTTATTATATATAATGCATATATATATACATATATATATATATACATATATATACATATATATATATATATACATATATATACATATATATACATATATATTTTTTTAAATGAGTATACAAGTATATGAATGTGTATATAATTAATATATGCATATATTAATTTATATCTTTATAATGAATATATACAATATATAAAGTAGTTATATATATGTATATATATCTTTATATATATTTATATATTTATTTATATATTTATATAATACCTGAAGTACGTTCATAATAAAGCCAGGATAAAAGCGAGAAGAGAAGAAAAATAAATATATAAATATATATATATATATATATTTATATATATATCTATATATATAGATTTATTTATTTATTTATTCATTTTATTTTATTTATTTTATTTGAATCTCAGGGTTAAGCTCGACTGATGCTTCGCGACTTATTTTAGGGCTGCGATCTCTGGCCAAGCGCTGCGGCGTCAGCTTTGTAGTGTCTATACACCAGCCGTCATGCAGTATCTTTCAGAGTTTTGACGATGTTATTCTTCTTTCTAGAGGCTATTGTCTTTATAACGGGCCTATTCAGCAAATGCACTCCTACTTTGCTGCTCTAGGTACGGTGGATATGCTTCAATACACCTACATAGATAGCTAGCTAGCTAGCTAGCTAGCTAGCTAGCTAGCTAGCTAGCTGCATGGCTGGCTAGCTAGCGACTTAACCTGGAGGTCAAGCGCTTATACAGCTACCTACCTATTCCTACCTATCTGTCTAGCTAGCTAGCTAGCTACCCAGCTAGCTAGCTACCTATCTACCCAGCTAGCTAGCTACCTATCTACCCAGCTAGCTAGCTAGCTACCCATCTATCTATCCAGCTCTTTTTGCCTGTCTAACTAGCTAGCTAGCTAGTTAGCTAGCTAGTTAGCTAGCTGGCTAGCTAGCTAGTAATGATAATATATATATAATTATTTTCGTTGCACAGGGTTGGCGCCGCCTCTGCACGAAAATCCAGCAGAACATTATGTGGGGCTTGCAAGTGAAGAAGAAAGCAGTGAAAGATTTAAAAAGTTGAAGGATAATTATAAAGAAAACGAAGAAAAAAAACGCGAAGATGAGGTGTATGTACACCTCAAATGCATGCGAGAAAAAACACAAAAAATGAGTCAGTCTCCTGCATTTAGAAACATTTTATTAACTATTAATTATTATTTATTTGTTTTTATTTATTTATTTGTTTATTCTTATTTATTTATTTGTTTATTGTTCTTTTTCTTTTTCTCTCCCACTGTCTCGACAGCTAATGAATGAGGCTGCATGTCTTCTACTCGCATCTCTTCCGGTGTATCTGCTGTCTGAGGGTTGTGTATATATATATATATATATATACATATATGTATATATACAGATATATATAATATATACATATAT